TTATATCCAAATTCGTGTTATATCAGGTCTGTAAAGGGTCTGGACTCACCCCTGCGGCGCCTCCTGCTGGTCGTCCAGGGAATTAGCTCACCAGCCTCTGGAGTGCCCTCTGCAGGCCGGTGATCCGCCTGTCCTCTTCTGGCGCCCGTGTCCCTCCCAGGACCTGGTGCCCCTATTACTGGGATGCTGCCCCCTGGCAGTACCCCACAGATCTGGGTCTCCCCTCCCTGGGGAACCCCCCACCTTGCCTCAGCACTAGGCCACTGCCAGTCACCATCTAGCCCCCGCGCCAGACTGCAGTATAGGCCACTCATCACTGGCAAGGGGGGTTTGGACCTGCTGCCTTGGACTAGCTCTGGGCTGCCCTCTGCAACCCCCAGTACCCCTTGGCCTAATACTAGGCTGGAGCTCCCCAGCTCCTCAGCTTTTCCCCAGCCCTGCTCCACTACAGGTACCCTATGTCTAGCTCCCTGCAGCCAGGCCCTTCTCCCTCTGAAGGCAGTGAGAGACTCCTGAGCTCCTGGCTCCCAGCCTCTTATATAGGCCAGCTGAGGCCTGATTGGGGCGTGGCCCCAGCTGCAGCCACTTCCCCCAATCAGCTCAGCCTTCACGCTGCCTGCTCCCTGGGCTATCTCAGGCCCTTCCAGGCAGGAGCAGGTGTCCACCCTGCTACAGGGTCGCATTCTATCGGGGTAGAGGTGTACTTTCACAGAACACTACATGATTACTCGAGACTCAGCTTCTCATGCCATCTTCGGCTCCACAGTATTATCATCAATGATAGACTCCACTCCGAAGTCCCAGCCCTCCATAGGGCTGTGAAGTTACCGACAGTGGAGCACCCATAGGGTAGTCGAAGAAGAAGAGGTTATTACCTTGTGCACTAATGATGGTTCTTCAAGTTAAGTTCTTCAGCAAATGAAGGCTCATCTGAAAGTCTGATAGAATGTAACAAAGTTTCTGGCTAGTTTTGAATGAGGAAGTGGGAAGGCAGTGTCTTGTAGGGACGTGAAATTATATTTATGTGTACACAGTTTTAGTTCTTGTGGGTGTTTGTCTCTGTCTGAGAGATTGGAGCAAATGTAGTTGTATCTTAGGGCTTGTCTGTAGACAGTGGATTGTGTGGTGTGTCCTGGATGGAAGCTGGAGGCTTTATTTCTGTTAGCAAAGTAATTGACTTAACAAATATATCAACCCTATCAATGTTCGCTTAGGAGACTGTGCTACCTAGGTCTTTCAGTTTGTGACAAGCTATATCTTCCTTTTGAAAACCGATCATGAATTCATAGCTTTGGGGTTGATCGTCATAGCTGCATGAGTACATTTCTGAACTTGCCTTGTGTTATGTGAATGATAAACGGAGAACAAAGTGTGATTTATATAGCAGTTTGGCCAAATTGCTCTTATTAGAAGGAAAAATACATTTATTGAACGTATCTAGGCTGGAATTATCTCTTCCGTGATGATGATGAATGCTTGCAGCTTTGTAAACATGCTGAACATTAAGTTGCTAAATGACTATATCACTTTGTGATTGATTATCAAGTTTGGCCACATAAGCATCACGACCCACACATATATCTCACAGTCTGCCTGCATTCTGAAGCCTACTTAATGCTCTTTTTTTCTAATTAAACTTTTATTGAATTTTCTTCTCCTTTTAATACTTGTTTTGATTCTCTTATGTGCAGATGACAAAAGACTTGCACCAGCCATGTGATTCCCTATTTTAGAACAGTCCCACTTTGCAGGATTAGCCATTTTTAATGACTTTAATCTCCTTTTTGAAAGTGATTTTTCTCATTCTGTTACATTCCTTTGATTGCCTTAATGTAGAATTATTATTCTGCTGGAAAAATCACTATTGCCAGGCATGTCACACCACATTTCAACTATGTCTTCCCAATGTAAAATACTCCAGCAAAATTCCCTAACATTTTCTTCTTGGCTCATTATAAGGCTTTTCTCAATTTATAGTGGCAAGTTAAAATTAACAGGGTTGTTTTTCATTCCATAAAGAGATAAATTATAATGAGTTTTCCCTCTAATTTCTTCGGTTTTAGTTTTTGGATACTTTAATGTTTTGTTTGTAAGGAACTCAAGGTAGATTGTGTGTGGGAGCAATAGCTGTCCAACTATTTTTAAATTCTAAAAGGCAGAAAAAACAAATATATTAAAAGGAAAATAAAAGTTGAACACTTAAATCAATAAAATGTCTAAATCAAACTGACAAAATGAGACAGTCTTGCTTTCAACTTTATGTAAACAAGCAAAATTTTATTTCACTTGAATCCATATTATAATAATCACAGCAGTTTCTTTGCATGTCATTCAGAAAGTAACACCATCTTTCTTTTATTTAAAATAAAATTAGTCCAGTATGCGAGGAGGGCAGCAGTAGGAAGGGAACTCTGCTTTTCAGTTCTTAGCATCTTCCTAAAGTTGTTGCCATGTCCACCTGCTGTGTGTGAGAACTTCTTAAACATATTTGTATCACTGAGATAATGGACTAACTTCATTGCTGGCACAAGCACATATCATCATATTTAAGTTAACGGAGTTGTACTGGGTTATGCTAGCAGTGAATTTGGCACATTGAATTTGCAGATTGTAAAAGAGGCTGTGGATGCTGAAGCTGATTTATTCACCAAAGTGGTTTAAGCCTATCTGATTTTTTCCCCTGCTTTCCCTCTTCAATCATTTATGCCTGTATACCAATATGCAGCAAAATATTTACAGTCTTTGTGATAATAAAGTATGACATTTTAAATGCCTATTTTTACAATAATTTTTATTTAATGGCAACTTGTTACAGTTTAGGCCACAGCCAGTTAACTTACAGAGTAGTAATATTGTGGGGTTTTTTTCCAGTAGAAAAAACTGTAGGAGTAGCAAATTCACCATGTGCTGCCCTAGTTCAGGCCCTAGCATCCCCCTCTCTCCCTTTTGTCTCCATTCCCCTTGAGGAGCCCAGCTGGCGTGAGCTGGGAATTAGTGAGCAGTGATCTACCGGTACCTCCCCACTGAATCTAATCCAAGAAGCTGGCAGCCAGCTGAATCCTTCCAGTCAGAAGGGCCCATTAATGCAAGTCCCTAGGGAGGCTGCTCCTCCTTTGCTTGGAGAGAGAACCCCTGTGAATGGGGCTGACATCAGAGAGAAAGAGAGAGGCTGCTCAGAATGAAGAGCGAACCTGGGTCTTCAGTATGGCATGCAGTAATGTACAATAGAATCGATTTAAATATGGAGCATATTATATAATTGCTGATACAAAAAGATATTAGGTGTTGGTTACAGGATGAGAATAGAACGATTGAAAACAAGTCTCTGTAAAAATCAATGGATGAAACTTCGTAATGTTCAGGCTCAGCCGGGCTCTTAAGTTTTTGTTTAATATAAGAACATTGAACGTTCTATAAGTGTAGGTCGCATGTTGAGAATTATAGTACGTTTCTGTAATGAGACTAAAATACTGTTTTCATGTCATCAGTCATTCTGGAGTAGCAGGTTTGGTTAAGTCAAGATGAGGACATTGTAGTTGTACTGCGTAAGGAGAGAAGGCCATCCTCCCACACAGTGCAGTGCTAGAAAAAATGCAGCACATTTTTGCTAGATAAATTGTCTTGTGTATGATTATTTTTATATAAAGTAATGCAAATCCCTGTTTTCCTGGGATGTAAAGGCAGACATTTGACAAAGAATACTATGATACAGGGTATAGCTTCTTGTATTGATGATATCCTCGTTAACTGAGTTTTTCTTTGAGAGCTACTCTACTGTACATGTGCTTTAATTTGGTGAAGTTGTTTAGTTGGCAGACAAGTGTATGCGTGGCAGCCTACATGCATAGTTGCAGGGGTTTTTTTGTTCAGTTGTAATAATAGCTGAAGTAGAATCATTAAATGTTTTAGAGGGTAAATGTTTGTGTTTGGAGAAATGGTTCCTTTTTGCATTTCAGTGCTTTACCGACCCCTCCTCTACTCTCACAAGTTTTACACTGTTCTTCGTTCAGGGTTCAGTTTTATATCAGACTACTTCACTTAACTTGACATCTTCAGCATTCTCTGTGGAATGATTACATTTGCACTCATTTTGTTCTCTTTCTGATGAATAATTCAAATTATGAAAGATGCTAACTTTTTATGTATTTTCTTAAAACAACCATTCTTCTATTCATTGTGTTTCTTTATGGAAATACTGATTTATGAAATATTTTCTAAAGCCTCATCTTTGAGCCATGGAAGTGGGAGCACTCTGTCATTACAGGCTTGGCTGTGCTGTTGTTTTGTTCCTGAAGTTGGTTTTCTGGTGATGACACACTCGAAATCTCCAAAGATTATTATTAGTCTTTGCAAGTATTGCAAGTCTTTTTATTGCAATCGGACAACATTACCTTTCTAAGCCAACGAATATGGTAACAATCAAAATTTCTTGACAGATTCAACTGAGTATTCTCAAATCTGTTGCTTCTATTTCACATGGATGTTGAATTCTATTTGCTTTTTCTACATGTAACCGCTTTTGTGCAGCCTTTTAAATCTGTTTCAATTTCAAGTCAGAACTGAAAATATTTTGTTAAAAGGAGATGTTACTTAAAATCATTCTGATGCATCATTTTAAAAAATCCCACAAAATCACAGGTGACCACTTAATACTGAAGCTCTTAGACATGTTTGCATTGCTTTGCTTCACAATGTATTTTATTTTCTCTACTCATTGTTCGTTTTACAGTACAGTGAGTAGTTAAGCCTGCTAAAGAAAAAGGCTTTATATTAATGCTATATATTTGCATATTCATAAATTACATAACAATATGTGCTTCTTTTCCTCTTTCTCAAACATCCTTTAAAATTCAAGAGACATTTATGTCTTTTTTTTTGTTCAGCAGCTGATTTTTTTTACTGTAGTAGCAGAAGCCCATAGTGTTGTTGAGAGGCTTTGTCCTTATTTCACAGATGCACTGGGAATTGTTTTTAATCTCCTTTCTGCTTTCCCATTACAGATGGTGATGACGACCCACAACTCTCCTGGGTGGCTTCATCTCCCTCCAGCAAAGATGTTGCATCACCCACTCAGATGATAGGCGATGGGTGTGATCTCGGCATCGGGGAGGAGGAAGGGGGGACTGGCCTGCCATATCCCTGTCAGTTTTGTGATAAGTCCTTCATTCGCCTGAGCTACCTTAAAAGGCACGAGCAGATCCACAGTGACAAACTACCTTTCAAATGTACCTACTGTAGCCGGCTTTTTAAGCATAAGAGAAGTAGGGATCGCCACATAAAGCTTCACACGGGGGATAAAAAGTACCATTGCCATGAATGTGAGGCAGCATTCTCTCGCAGCGACCATCTCAAAATTCACCTGAAAACCCACAGTTCGAGCAAGCCATTCAAGTGTACTGTCTGTAAGCGTGGGTTTTCCTCCACCAGCTCATTGCAGAGTCACATGCAAGCTCATAAAAAGAACAAGGAACATATGGCAAAGACTGAGAAAGAGGTGAAGAAGGATGATTTTATGTGTGATTACTGTGAAGAGACATTCAGTCAGACAGAAGATTTGGAGAAGCACGTAATGACACGCCACCCACAGCTTTCCGAGAAGGCAGATTTGCAGTGTATTCATTGTCCTGAAGTATTTGCAGATGAAAACTCATTGCTTTCCCACATTCATCAAGCCCATGCCAACAAAAAACACAAGTGCCCTATGTGCCCCGAGCAGTTTTCTTCAGTGGAAGAAGTCTATTGCCACTTGGATAGCCACAGACAACCTGATTCCAGCAACCATAGTGTCAGCCCTGACCCAGTTTTGGGGAGTGTGGCGTCAATGAGCAGTGCAACACCTGATTCAAGCGCATCGGTGGAACGAGGCTCCACTCCGGACTCCACTTTAAAACCGTTGAGAGGACAAAAGAAGATCAGATCAGCGGAAAGAGAGGAAGGCCAGAATTGGTCTAAAGTCACCTACAGCTGCCCTTACTGCTCCAAGCGTGACTTCAACAGCCTTGCTGTCCTGGAGATCCATCTGAAGACCATTCATGCAGACAAACCTCAACAAAGCCACACATGCCAGATCTGCCTTGATTCCATGCCTACGCTGTACAACTTGAACGAACATGTCAGAAAGGTGCACAAAAACCATGCATATCCCATGATGCAGTTTAACAACATTTCTGCCTTTCACTGTAACTATTGCCCTGAGATGTTTGCAGATATCAATAGCCTACAGGAGCACATCCGCATCACTCACTGTGGACCAAGTGCTACCCCTCAAGATGGTAACAATGCCTTCTTCTGTAACCAGTGCTCCATGGGCTTTCTGACGGAAGCATCCTTGACTGAGCATATTCAGCAAACTCACTGCAACGTAGGAAACTCAAAATTGGATTCCCCTGTCGTTCAGCCAACACAGTCTTTTATGGAAGTTTATTCTTGCCCTTATTGCACAAACTCCCCCATTTTTGGCTCCATCCTGAAGCTGACAAAGCACATTAAAGAAAACCACAAGAACATTCCTCTAGCACACAATAAGAAGTCAAAAGCAGAGCAGAGTCCAGTTTCTTCTGATGTTGAAGTCTCTTCCCCTAAAAGGCAGCGGCTTTCTGCTAGCTTAAATTCAGTTTCTAATGGTGAATACCCATGTAATCAGTGTGATCTAAAGTTCTCTAATTTTGAAAGTTTTCAAACTCATTTAAAGTTGCATTTGGAGTTGCTTTTAAGGAAACAGTCTTGCCCTCAGTGTAAAGAAGACTTTGATTCTCAGGAATCTCTCCTGCAGCACCTCACAGTACACTACATGACAACATCTACCCATTATGTATGTGAGAGCTGTGACAAACAGTTTTCTTCAGTGGATGATTTGCAGAAGCATTTGCTGGACATGCATACTTTTGTGTTGTATCACTGCACCCTTTGCCAAGAGGTTTTTGATTCCAAGGTATCTATCCAAGTGCATCTGGCAGTCAAGCATAGCAATGAAAAGAAGATGTATCGTTGTACAGCCTGTAATTGGGATTTTAGAAAGGAGGTGGACCTTCAGATCCATGTAAAGCATAGCCATTTGGGCAATCCAACAAAATCACATAAATGCATCTTCTGCGGAGAGACCTTCAGCACTGAAGTAGAACTGCAGTGCCACATCACAACCCACAGTAAAAAGTACAACTGTAAGTTCTGCAGCAAAGCTTTCCACGCTATCATCTTGCTTGAAAAACATTTGCGGGAGAAACATTGTGTCTTTGATGCTGGGGCTGAGAATGGTACAGCTAATGGCATGACCCCAACGAATAAGAAGACAGAAGCTGCAGATCTCCAGAACATGTTGATGAAGAATCCGGATACTTCAAACAGTCATGAGGCTAGTGAGGATGATGTAGATGCTTCTGAGCCAATGTATGGTTGTGATATTTGTGGGGCTGCCTATACTATGGAAGTCCTTTTGCAAAACCATCGTTTGAGAGATCATAACATCAGACCTGGGGAGGATGATTGTTCTAGGAAGAAAGCAGAATTCATCAAAGGTAGCCACAAGTGTAACATCTGCTCAAGGACCTTTTTCTCAGAAAATGGCCTCAGAGAGCATATGCAGACTCATCGAGGTCCAGCTAAGCACTACATGTGCCCCATTTGTGGGGAGCGCTTCCCATCCCTTCTGACCCTGACAGAGCACAAAGTCACTCATAGCAAGAGTTTGGATACGGGAACGTGCAGGATCTGCAAAATGCCACTGCAGAGTGAGGAGGAATTTATTGAGCACTGCCAGATGCATCCGGATCTCAGAAATTCCCTCACCGGGTTTCGCTGTGTTGTCTGTATGCAGACAGTCACCTCTACCCTTGAGCTGAAAATTCATGGAACGTTCCATATGCAGAAATTGGCAGGAAACTCTGCAGCCTCTTCTCCCAATGGTCAGGCTTTGCAGAAACTCTACAAGTGTGCTTTGTGCTTGAAAGAGTTCCGGAACAAGCAGGACTTGGTGAAACTGGATGTTAATGGCCTGCCATATGGCCTGTGTGCTGGATGTATGACCAGGGGCACCAATGGACAGTCTTCAGGCTTGACTCCCCAGGAAGTGAATGAGAGACCATGTGGCAGTCTGAGGTGCCCAGAGTGTAGTGTCAAATTTGAAAGTGCTGAAGACCTAGAGAACCACATTCAGTTAGATCATCGAGACCTGACACCTGAGACTAGTGGCCAAAGGAAGGGTACCCAGACATCCCCTGTTCCCAGAGTAAGTACAGTACTGCTGAACTTTAGCATCTCTTATTGCACACAATGTAGACTACTAGAGTAACTATACAAAGCATTTAATAGGATTAAAAATTCTAATTTTATAAAATGAATAGTAAAAAAAATACCTTTTGAGAATGACCTGTGCTATAAACAAAGCATAGCACTGCACAGGCAGAAAATAGGCGTCACACTGTTTTGTAGACTTCTTAGTTATGTATGGCAGGGTATCAGGGTTCATACTGCGAGCCTACCTTGAAGTTTTCAGCAGAAAGTTGAGCTATATCAACGTTTCATTCAGAAGTCAGGGTTTGTGCATAAGTATGGGTATTTCTTGAGTTCGCAAATCTGCAGAAACTCGGGAGACTTTCATGGAAAAAGATATTTTCAATATCCAGGAGAAAGGAATTCTAAGTAGTTTACTTTACTACATCCAGGAATGAGTTAATTAGAATGGATGGTAGGTTTGCAAGAGGCTTGTTTTCTTTATATAGCCTCTTGGCAGAGGTGTCTACTTTATTTGTGGTGTTTGGTGAACATGTGACCAGGCACCAAATAGGAGGAGGAGGAGGTTGGAATGAAAGATTTAGTGAAAGTCCCTCAAAACTTTGCATGACCTTGCATAAAATTTGAGTCACTGCTTCAAAGAGGTTAGTTGTCTTGCTATATGGCCTTGAGAGATGGATATGAGCCCTGCTTTCCTGGGGGCAGGGGCGGGGCTTTCCTCATTGTGTGTGTGTGTGTGTGTGTGTGTGTGTGTGTGTGAGACCTGCAAAAATCTATGGGTAAGAAAGATACGTCCTTACACAAATTCAAAAAAGAAATATAAACAGTATCATTATGGCTCAGATGCCATACTGGCCACATTGATACTCAAATAATTATTAGCAGCTGTTTAATCACCAGAGGATATTGCACAGCAGTATTTAACTTGTGAAATCTGGAACTGATTTGTTTCCTTCCCTTAATGAAAGTAGTTTTCATATGTGATGTGAAAATTCTTGTAGCGTGTACAGGTGAGATTCTTGAGAGAAAAAGTCTGTGAAAACTAACTCATCTGCTGTCTTACATCTTTACTTTTAAGATTTTTGGCTAATTTAGTATGTAAGCAAGCCTTTAGAAGCCTGCTCATGAAATCTATCTTGTCTGCTGTTTATGGTGTCTTAAAATTATTTGTTGAAATGTTAGTTCATGGTTGGGCCAGGTTACTTCTTACACTGTGAAGACCAAATGGAATGAGAAGTGAATTTGGGAACTCTTCTCAGCAGACCAATAGCAATGACAGGAATATTAGTCACACCACTCTGACACTTTGAATTAAAGATAATTGGGTGAGATTTTCAAAAGTATTTACTAAGGGGGCCGGGCACCCTGCTCTTGCTGAAAAATCCCAGCCATAGATTAATTAAAGCACCCCCAAATGAATCTTGATGCAGTGGGCAATAACAGACTTGAAGGTGCTGTTAGAGTACACTGAGCGAGCAGTTCAGTAAGTGCAAGAAGACCTCAAGTAAGTCCTGACAGTGCAGACAGAATAGGCTCGGATAGAGCTGTTCATAGTGCATCCTGTCAGTGATTCGTAGATTGTGTCAGCATCCCAGGTTCAATCTCAATGAAAATTTGTTTTTGTTTTACTTGCTTCTTTAGTACAACTGGATATTGTTCCCACTGGGTCAAGTGAATATGTGACTAGACCTGCCTCCAGCTGTGATATACATCTAATTCTGCAGAGGAATAAAATAAGGAATGGAAATATCCCTTCCTTCAGTGTGATGTCTCTTGAGAGTTCAGCTGAGTCTCTGAGTAGGTCACTGTCTTCTTTCTACTTCTCAGTTCTTTATTTCCTTCTAAATTCTCTGAAACAGGCCTCAGAAATTCTTTTCTTTGGGACTAATTCCTTTTTCATATGGCTGTGCACGCAGCCTAAAATATTACATGCTCTTCCCCTCATCTGTCAGGAGTGGAATACATTGCCGTCTTCTACTCTAATTTCTTGCTTTAACTCTCTCTTTTCAGTGAGAGCTTCCATACCTGTTCTCTCAGGGGAGAGTTTAAGTTCTTCAACAAGGTAAATGCTTTGAATTTCATCCCGCGAGGGCAGATTTTAGTTCCTTTGTAGAAGATAATGAAAAATCAGCATTTGTGCCTATACCAAATAGCACCTTAAACAGGTGCCTATGGCCTGCGGCCTGCACATATGCTAATGCCTGAAACTGTATGGTGTATACGCCAGTTACTTGGAATAATTCATGATTTTACCTTTACTGATAGCTACTATACCTGAACAGTGATATCAGCAGGCTAAGTAACTGTCAGTGCTTCATTTTGGGGATTAAACACGTAGTTTCGGTCTGTTAAAATGTTTTTATAGCATAAGGATCTTTAAAGAATTATGCTGTTTTTGGAAAATAATAACTTTCTGTAGTATTTTAACTATAGAAGTTTGTTTAACTTTGCTTGTCGTAAACAAGCAGTGGGGCCCCTAGACAATCGAGGTGCTATAGAAGCACTCGAGGAAGACAACGCTGTTGTGGAGAAGCTAAATTGATTCTTTGCATCAGTCTTCACTGCAGAGGATGTGAGGGAGATTTCCACACCTGAGCCACTTTTTTTAGGTGACAAATCCTGAGGAACTTTCCCACATTGAAGTGTCAGTAGAGGAGGTTTTGGACCAAATTGATAAATTAGACAGTAATAAGTCACCAGGAGCAGATGATATTCACCCAAGAGTTCTGAATGAACTCAAATATGAAATTGCAGAACTACTAGCTGTTACATTACCTGTCGCTTCAATCAGCCTCTGTACCAGATGACTGGTGGATAGCTGGTGTAACACTGATTTAAAAAAAAAAAAAAAGGCTTCAGAGGCAATCCTGGCAATTGCAGGCCAGTAAGTCTAATTTCAAAACCAGGCACATTGGTTGAAACTATAGTAAAGAATAGAATTATCAGACACATAGATGAACACGATTTGTTGGAGAAGAGTCAACCTGGCTTTTGTAAAGCGAAATCATGCCTCACCAATCTATTAAAATTCTTTGAGGTGGCCAAGAAGCACATGGAGAAGGGTGTTCCAATCAATATTGTATACTTGGATTATCAGAAAAACAATGAGGAGTCCGGTGGCACCTTAAAGACTAACAGATTTATTTGGGCATAAACTTTCTTTGGTAAAAAAACCCACTTCATCAGATGCATGGAGTGAAAATTACAGATGCAGGTGTAAATATACTGACACATGAAGAGAAGGGAGTTACCTTACAAATGGAGAACCAGTGTTGACAGGGCCAATTCAATCAGGGTGGATGTGGTCCACTCCCAATAATTGATGAGGAGATGACAATACCAAGAGAGGGGAAATTGCGAGACGGGTACCCAGAAGTCACCTACTACAGGACAGGCCCAACAAGGAAAATAACAGAACACCACTGGCCATCAAGTACATCCCCCAGCTAAAACTTCTCTAGCACATCATCAACGATCTACAACCTATCCCGGAAAACGATCTCTCACTCTCACAGACCTTGGGAGGCAGGCCAGTCCTCGCTTACAGACAGCCCCCCAACCTGAAGCAAATACTCACCAGCAACTACACACCACACCACAGAAACACTAACCCAGGAACCAATCCCTGTACAAACCCCGTTGCCTATTCTGTGCCCATATCTACTCTAGCGACACCATCAGAGGACCCAACCACATGAGCCACACCATCATAGGCTCATTCACCTGCACATCTACTAATGTGATATATCCCATCATGTGCTAGCAATGCCCCTCTGCCATGTACATTTGGCCAAACCGGACAGTCTCTACGTAAAAGAATAAATGGACACAAATCGGACATCAGGAATGGTAACATACAAAAGCCAGTAGGAGAACACTTCAGCTTCCCTGGACATTCTAGAACAGATTTAAAAGTAGCCATACTTCAACAAAAAAACTTCAAAAACAGACTTCAAAGAGAAACTGCAGAGCTACAATTCATTTGCAAATTTAACACCATTAATTTGGACTTGAATAGGGACTGGGAGTGGCTGGCTTACTACAAAAGCAATTTTCCTTCTCTTGGTATTGACACCTCCTCCTCAATTATTGTGAGTGGACTACATCCACCCTGATTGAATTGGCCCTGTCAACATTGGTTCTCCACTTGTAACTCCCTTCTCTTCATCTGTCAGTATATTTACGCCTGCATTTGTAATTTTCACTTCATGCACCTGAAGAAGAGAGGTTTTTTACCCACGAAAGCTTATGCCCAAATAAATTTGTTAGTCTTTAAGGTGCCACCGGACTCCTCGTTGTTTTTGTGGATACGGACTAACACGGCTACCCCTCTGATACTTGGATTATCAGAAAGCCTTTGGGTCCCTCACCAAAGGCTCTTAACCAAACTAAGCAATCATGGGATGAGAGGGAAGGTCCTCTTGTGGTTCAGTAACTGGTGAAAAGATGGGAAACAAAGGATAGGAATAATGGTTAGTTTTCACAGTGGAGAGAGGTAAATAGCGGGGTCCCCCAAGGAGCTATACTGGGACCTATGCTGTTCAACATATTCATAAATGATCTGGAAAAGGGGGTAAACAGAGAGGTGGCAAAGTTTGCAGATGATACAAAATTGCTCAAGATAGTTAAGTTCAAGGCTGACTGAGGCTAGGTCTACACTACAGCGGGGGGTCGACCTAAGATACGCAACTTCAGCTACGTGAATAGCATAGCTGAAGTGGCGTATTTTAGGTCGATTTACTTGGCTGTGAGGACGGCGGCAAGTCGACCGCTGCCGCGCCGCCGTCGACTCCGCTACCGCCTCTTGCCGCGGTGGATTTCCGGAGTCGACGGTAGAGCCATCAGGGATCGATTTTATCGCGTCTTCACTAGACGCGGTAAGTCGATCCCCGATAGACCGATTGCTACCCGCCGGATCGGCGGGTAGTGAAGACGTGCCCTGAGAAGAGTTACAAAGGTGGGTGACTAGGCGACAAAATGGCAGATGAACTTCAG